CACCCACACCCCTATTCTGCAACTCTTTCGTATTCGGATTTTGCTACAAATCGTAGAAATAGTATGCTGCAATCCGAATCGTATTTTCGAACTTTCGAAATTCGTAACAATGGCATGCCTAAAAACGAACGAGTAAGCTTTTTTGCGTAATTTTGTACGAAAACATTTCTGTGTCGGAGGCGAGATAAAAGATGTAAATCGATGTGTGTTTGCAGGAAATATTAGTGGCGTCCATTTAAAAAGATAAATTTGCCTTTCGTATATACGTATATTTTTATCCACTGCTTTATATAAATGAACAAAAAATAATCTTTGTTGCCCTTATCGAGAACGCATAACCCGAATCTACTTGCACATACAAATTAAACTTCAATTTAAAATAAATGTTTCAAATTTCCGAGCAATAGTTTTTTAATAAATTCGGTTTTAACTATGCACATTTTTGTAAATTTCGATGTGGGTTCTGCGCAAAAATACTGTGGATGGCGTAGTTGGAGTCATATGCACAAGAATTACACATGCTATCGAAGGTGGCCTTGCCAAAAGCACCCTCTATGTCTACAAAAATGCCCAAGGCGAATTCTTTCCTATTGAGCGCATTGCCAACTCTGCAAATAGGCCTGCCAACAAAAGCTCAACACCTTCTTTAAGTACAATAGGTAGGATGACATCTGGACAACAAAAGCTCAACACCTTCTTTAATTACAATAGGAAGCATGACATCTGGACCAGGCGATTTGAGATTGTCAAAATACTCAATATAATATCTTAGGGCATCTTCATTTGCCACAATTCTGGCAAGAACCCAGTTGTACCTTGAGTCGTTCTCGCATTCCGTCCCTCTCCAGTCGAGGGAGAGCAAGGCGTAACCATCACCTAATTTCGTGCGCATTGGCGCATGGCAAATAGCGTCCTCGCCAAGTTAAAACTCGATGTACCTGTGATCCGAGAGCGAATCTTAACTCAGGACTCTCCAGTTTAGGACTGACCACCCCAACCGAGAGTTAGATAGGGTAAGATCACGAGAAAAATTATTAAAATCCTTAAACCTCAAACAGTCAACGACGTAACGTCGACGTAGATTGACGCAGACACAATCTACCTAATGGGACTCGCGTGTTAACGAAAACTCACCACAGCATGGCCAAAGAACGTTCTACGTTATCTACGTTCTTTGGCATGGCGGTGTATTACCTTTGGTTCTCTCTCTCTATCAAAAGTAAATTTGATATGCTGCTGTTTGCGCTTTTAATCTAAAGTTATAGTAGTTGCGTATATGTACATTTGAGCCAAGGCGAATTCATACAAGGTGGTGTTATTAGAAAAGCTGATTTGATTTTTTTATTCGCCTTACGTGTGATTTCATTTTGCTTTTACTGATGTCATAGCTCACCCGCCAAAAGCAAAAAAGCAAAGGGAAAAACAAAATTCATGTAAATTTATGTAAATTTTGTTTTTGTATTGTTGATACCACCTTGAATGAATGTGCCTTGATTTCATTGGTTTGGTCTTCAAACTTGGATGAACATGTTTTCTTTTAAGGGATGTGTGACGTT